GTTGGCTCAGGACAGAGAAGGGTTCAGAGCTTGTATATAGAGTTGCTCTGTGTTGTAAGTGACTTGACGGTTGGTACATAACAACAATGACAAAGTACCATCAATTCATCCTGAGAACTAACTCTTTAATTCATCCCCATTTCTCCATATTTTCTCTCTCTTACATGGTTTGGGTCCTTTCCATCTCTTACAGGAACTATAAAAACCTGCTTCTAACTTGCCTTCCTATTCAGGTAGTATTAGTGTTAGTGGAATATGTGAAGGGAAAAATCAAAGTCAATGAGTAAATGAAGTTGAGTGAAACAAGGGGATCTAGACTGAGGGCGGTAGGTAGCTTTTGAAAAGATGCATCACAGAAGAGATGTATCCCTTTCTGGTAGGTGTTTAGACCATTTTTGAAGGCTATTTGGCAGTATTAAAGCAAAGAGATACAAATGTCAGACATGATTCTGCATTTGTCTCCTGTGTGGTCGCTGGCCTGAAGAACTCTAGTATATGCAAAAAGACATGGGCAGAAATGTTCATTGCAACATTGTTTGGTTTTAATTCGTCATTACTACAATCTAAATGCCTATAGAAAGGGGAATGGATAAAAAAATGTTGAAATATTCTTGGGCAACAGTAATAAAATAAAATCTTTAAAAAAATATATTTACATCCTCAGAAACATAGTGAAGGGCCACCATGAGGTGGGATCAGCTTACTGGCACTGAGTTTATTTTGGGGTCTGATTTATTAAGATACCCACTGTCAAGCATAAAATTTGACATGGCCACCTTCCATTGAAGAGGCAGTTTCTATATAGGAGAAAAAGAAATTATTTGAAGTTTATAAGTATATGCTTACATAGAATCTTTGTAGTGATCAGATTTTTTTTTCTCACTTGCTCTGTAATTTTTTTCTCCCTCTTAAAAGTATTTGTGTTCGGTTAACGTTAATACGTAACACGTTAGATTGTCATTTAAAGATTTTCTAGGAATTGTTCCATGACATTGATTGCCATTATTTTGACAGTGTGTCAGTATTCCACTGGGTTCGTTCATTTCCATTGGTCCAGCTTTCTTTCCTTCTGACCTTCTCATCGTTCTGGGTAAATGCTGACCACTTGTCCACACTGTAATCTCTTCCACTTTCCTGTCTACTCCTTCTGTATCAAGGGACATCGTTCATTTACATCTCCCCTACCTTAGGAAGCCACCCTTCTCAAAACCATGATTTCCATCTCCCCCTCCTGCCACTTCTCCTTCTCATACATTCACCTCAAATGGGTTGAATGACTGCTTATTCTCTCAGCTTCCATGTCCTCTCCCACTCAGTAGTGCAAGGCTGACTCTTTGAACTCTGAATTATCTTTATCTTTCTGGGAATGGTCTCTCTAAAAAGTGAGAAGTAATTTACTAGTATTCTACTTGTTGATTCATCCTTAAATTTCTCCAAATTGCTTTTCTTCCAGTGTTTCATAGCTCATGTAATTTGCAACATCTACCTAATTATCCAAGGCAGACACACTGGTGATGCTATAAAGTCTATAAGTACTATTGACTCAGTCACTAAGTACTGCTGACGCTCTTGGTAACAGCAGCCAGAAAGTCAAAAGGCAAATTGCATTGGGAAAGTCTGCTGTCAGGGACCTCACCAGAGTGCTGAAGAGCAATGATATCAGTCTAGAGACTAAATTGTCCCTGATCCATGTCATGGTCTTGGCAATGACTTCCTA